ACACACACATACATATTCTAAGAGCCGTCTTACGGCACACATTCGCCGGGCAGAACGCATCTCGAGATCGCCTTTGCCGCCTTGCTCAACCGGGAGTGCGCACGTCTCCAACTGCCTTTTCCTGCCTGCTCTATCGCTTGTTCTCCACCGTTTTGCTTGCTTGCACGAGTTTTGCCACCGCATGCCGAAAGAGACCCACGGAGCGGCCAAGTTCAAGGGACAGGACGAGGATTGACGGAATCACGGGGACGACGGCCGACACGGTGAGTCGCTTCGCTTAATATTTCGTTGCATGCGTTTCTGCTTTCGCGTTAAACATTTGATAGTCGTGAGGGGAAAGCGACAACCCCCCTCTGGTCCTTCGAGTATCGCAAATCTTGCCTCCGGGGCGAAACTATCCCCGTTCATTGGTCCTTCGAGCCGGATTTCGCGTTAGAAAATTACCGCCGACCTTTCGCTCACGTCGCATTAATCATTAACTTGTTAATTTTCGCACATTCTTGTAATCGCGCATCGCGATAGCACGTGGCGCGTGGTAGTCTCTCGCGATATCTTTCGTTCGCAACTCTTTGTGACGAGAATATTCGCGTGAACTTCTCGCTGTCGTAACCATGCCATTGCTGTTATCTGCCTTTGCCGTAAATACGCTTAATTGGTTGTTCGCATAGTCGCGAGATGCAGTAACGCGCGGCGTGTTAGTAATCTTTAGTCTCGCGCGATATCCCTCGTTCGCAATTCTTAATTCGCAGCGAGAATACTCGCGTGAACACCTCGCTCGTCGTAACACGTTCCGCCGCTGTTATTCGCATTTAACGCGAATTGCAATAACGCGTGGCGTGTTAATAATCTAATTAATTCGCGACGAGAATATTCGCGTGAATCCACGATCTCGCGCGATATCTCTCGCTCGCAATTCTCTCGCTCGTTGTAACACGTTCCATCGCCGTTATTTGTACTAATCGTAAATTGCGCAATTGACGCGGTAATTAGTTAAAGCCCGTCATTGTTAACATAGAAACCGAAATATTCAGATCTCGAATATTCTCGGGCTGGCCATACGTTTTCGCCGCGCCGTTGACGGCCTTGACGCTCGGTCACGGGCCGGCAGCGTATGTACACAGTTTTTCTACATAAGCTCGCGTTCCATAATAACGCGCTACCTTATTTTCGTTGTTGCTGGGTGTGTTTCGGCCAGACTCGAAATACATATTGAAAACACATACTGAATATTATTCCGATCGTTGGAATTCTCGCAAACATAATTGCCACCGATCGAATATACTGTTCGTCGGCACTGGTTCCCGGTATAGAATATATTGCAGCACTCAAGGTAATCTCATCAAAGATTATAATTACAATTATAATCACAATTGCAAAGAGTTGGCGTAATTGATGCTCATGTCGTGGATTATTGCTCGTGTCATGTGTATACTGCTCATGTCGTATACGCTGCTCGTGTCGTAGCTCCGCGCGCAACATGTATTGCTGAAAACTTAATTTGAACAAATACTTGAATGCATTCCTCGCCGTAACCGGGCACCTGTGCCAACCTAATTGATAATTTTGATCGCTGATACAACTATTTTTTTATTTTGTACATCCCTTGCAACCCTCTTCCTTGTTAGCTCTACACTGCCTTTGACACCCTTTTCCTGCGTTCGCCCTTGGCTCTTGCGATTAACAAACTTGTCATTTTGATTGCGCTATTATATCGTGTTTGAAGAGCATTCTCTCGGGAACATTCCATTGAGCCTTCGCGTAGGAATCCGAAACGAGCCATCTGTTATGATCTGTTGATCTGTTATTCCTCATCACTTGACGAACAGAACGGTTGTTTGCTTTCGCTCTCTCTTTTGTCCCTTAGCATATAAACTTGAAGCCTATTGTTCGCCGGTATTTCACGGGGCGACAATACACTACGCGTCCTTGGGATCGTTTGCCGTTGCTGTTGATCGTTTACATATCAACCAACATGTCGAAATCAAAATCAGCTCCCCCTTGTCGCGAGTTATGCGTCCGGCGGATGCGGGAGATTTATGATCTTGCCCGGAAGGCCTCGTCCGAACCGACGATCCTAGAGGGTTTTCTTGCCCGCTATCCGAGCGTGGCGAGAATCGCCGAGGACTTTGAGAACGCGCATCTAAAGGTTATACAGGAGACTACGGAGTTCGACGCCGAAGACGCGATTCGGGCAGACTTCGATAAAATGCATTACGCCGTGAAGGGACGGTATCACGCGCTCACGGACACGACGCCCGGAACCGCACAGGCTCAATCCGCGAGCCACGCGTCGGCGATCAAGTTACCCAAAATTACGCTTCCGCAATTTTCGGGCGATCTTACGCTGTGGCCGTCTTTTATCGCCTTGTTCAACACCTCGATTCACGACAACCGACAGATCTCGTCAATAGAGAAGTATCAATATCTGCTGGCCTCGCTAAAGGGGGAGGCGCTCAATGTAATCAAGAATTTGCCCCTCGCCGCGGAGTATTACACGATTGCATACGACGCGCTGCTCGACAGGTATCGGAACAGAAGGAGGCTAGCGGACCACCACCTAAAGTCGATACGCGAAGCCAAACCGTTAAAGATAGAATCGGCCGATGCCCTCCATAAATTATTAGATACGTTCACCGAAAACACTCGCGCGCTAAACCTGATGAAGTTCCCTACCGATTCGTGGGATTTCCTTTTGCTCAATTTCCTGCTCGAGAAGCTTCCCCGATCATTGCGGGAAAAGTTCGAATCTGTCCATCGGGCCGAAGAGATACCGCGATACGCTCAACTCATCAAGTTTCTTTCCGAGCATTGTAAAGTACTTGAGGCCATCTCGGGTCCGTCGACCATGCCGTTCAAATCACAATCGTCCGCGTCGGCTTCGTCGCTTGCAACTCGAACTGCCGAGTGTCCGGCGTGCAAGGAACAACATCTCGTGTTCAAGTGCCCTCGATTCTTGAAACTATCCCCCCGGGAAAGGCATTCAACGGCCAAAACCGCGAATTTGTGTTTCAATTGCCTTCGCGCGGGTCATGGCGCTAACAACTGCACCTCGACGGGGACGTGCCGGTCGTGCCAGGCTAGGCATCATACCCTATTGCATTTTGGACGGAATTCGGATCCAGCGGACACCCCGGCGGATACCGGAGCCTCCTCCGAATCAGCCGTCGACGGGAGTTCGTCGCCACAAAATAATGAACCCCTCGTCACCATGGCTAGCGT